TGTTTCCTGTTCTGGAATGCACCAACTGTTGTTATTGAAAATTCAAGGATCTATTTCAAAAAGGTAGAGGTGTGTCTTTTGTATCCTTGCGAACATGCTCACTGGCCTCTGTCCATCATGGCCTCCTAACCACCCAATAGGGTATTTGCACAGCTAGATAGTGTTTTTCAGCCAGCAACAAATTTAAGGTAAAAGGTTTATGTGACTATTTTTAAGTTCATAAGGTTTCTTTTACATCATTGATGTAATTAAAATACAATCAGTTTAATAAAGCATTAATTTAGTTGTTCAAGCATAAAACGCGATGAAAGATTGTTTAAACACAAGCGCCGTCAGTAGCAGCAGGCTAGTGCGGAAAATACTGTGATAAAATACATTTCCATATTTTACAGACATAGAGTGAAAAAGTGACATTTAATTAAGTGCTTCCTGTCTGGTCTGATACCCACTTTGTATTGTTTATCAATCAGACAATGAAGATCACAGATTTTTAAAGAAATCAGAACATGAACGTGGTGATTTTGTAATGGTGTGACAGTTCACCAGAAGCCTTCAGGCTGGCTGACTGAAAATTTTGTCTGTGTAAATATACCCCCTTCATGCCTCTGTTCCCTCTCCACCAATAGTTTGGTGTGCGGTCTGCCTGAAAATGGCTGGCATTGCATCAGAGCCCCTTCAAATCTGTAAAGCACTTTGAGTTCTGTTTACCACTTTATATTTGGCCCACCAATTGAAAAGCACTTTTAAAGTGTACATGTTGCTCATTCTCTTTCAGTTCGCCACAGTCAGAGAAGGCATCTGCAGGCAGCTCGTTTAATCATCAGTCCCGGATCAACTGTGCCCACCGAGCCTCAATCTCCTTCATACAGAGCCTCTTCAGCCATCCTGAATCACATACTCAGCCAAGTAGAGGAGGTTGTTCCCGGAAACCTTACCTCAAGAGACCCTGAACCAACACAAAACACTCTGACAAGCCATACAAAAACAGAAGACACTCACAACACTGATGGAAAAAAGGCCGATTCAGCTCAAGGGCAGCTCTAAGCAGTGTTCAATTCTCGATTGTTTGTTTTTGCTGCTGTAATAGTTTATTTAATTTTGCATGCAGTACGTGTCACAAATCAGTGGCAGAGGGAACAAACTAACGAACAGGTTGAGTCCAAAAATGGTTACGCAATAAAAGCTGCATTTAATTCATCACTAAGTGGTTCTTTTCTACATTAATAGTGAAACACGTCAAAGTCGAGGGTTACAAAAGTAGGACATAGCATTAAAAGACTTTAGACATCTTAATTTTCATCTGACCATGATGAAAACATCTTAAAAGACCATCATTTTAAATAATTTCTGAAATGCCTGTGTGTGCTAAGCACAGATAGTCTACTTTTTTCTTTTGTTTGACCATTAAATCCATTAGATCCTTTCTGAGAAAGGGCTGTACTGCCTGAAATGATTGACAAGATGATAAGGAGGATTTAATAGGCCAATTATCTGGTTCTCTCCAGATATTTATCTTATGAAGCTTATAAGAGCATTTGTAGATGTTATGTTATTTCTTAAACCATGAAGAACTAAATTATTTAATTCACGTCAGCCTTACCAGCTCAAGTTTATTTACATTTGACATTAGCAAAAGCTTCAATTTCAGTCCTAAAATCTTGCCTTCTGGCTCTCTGTATCTAAAAATCAGGACCAGGATTGTCCTGCAGACTTCAGCTTACCTCAACACACCTGTCTGCTAATTTAGTATGCCTAGCCCTAAAGCTGCGGTCACACCGGACTTTCTCCCCATAGACTTCCATTTATACGCAGGCGAATACGTCAGACCGGAAACGCAAGCTTATGCAGTTCGCTGTGTTACAAAGTTCAAGCTTGGTGAACTCTGACCTGCAAAGTCACATAACTTGACTGCGTTAGACCAATCGGGGATCAAAACATGACCTCTCTGGACAAAAAATGTAAAATATGGACCAATCGTTCACTTTTTTTATGTCTAATCATCTTGTTTAATCCCGCCCCTTTTCGCAGCACCGCACGACAGAATTTTGCAAGCTTCAACTCTAGTGTGACTGCTGCATAAGACCTTGATTAGCTTGTTCAGTTGTGATGAATTAGGTTTGGAGTTAACGCAGAACACTGGCCCTGCAGGAGTAAGATTGGAAACCTCTTATTCCAAAACAATGGCTGCATCCAAAAATCGCAGACCTCCCTACTATATAGTATGTTAAAAACGGTATACAAGCCGAGTAGTATGTCAGCATTTATAAAATTCGAAAAACAGTAAGCGAAAAGCACCCGGATGACCTACCACTTTCGGTGAGATTTTGAAGTCCGCATCATACCCGTCAACCATCCTGTTTTCCCGGGATTCTCCTGTATTATACAGTTCTCTCCTGCTATCATCCCGCAAAGGTATTTTCCCGTATTTCTCCTATATTTTTAGTCTTTTTTTGAAGGGTGGCAAATAAAGAGTCAAGTCTCCCTATACGCAACCCATACTGCCAAATTACCAGGGGGCGCCTCATGCTCTTAAATGTGAGTCTGTTCTGTGCTTTCGCTTTGTTTAGGCATAAAAAAAAAATTTGAAATAAATATTAAACATCGCGTTTCCCTTTCCTTTTCATTACAGGTGCCGTCTCCCCTTATGCAATCCTCAAAACAGTCATATAGCGGGGCGTGACTGTCAGCTGACGCGCTCCATAGTGATAAATACACTCTGTTTCCCAGATTCAAACAATCAAATAAACATAACTAATAATATCTAAAGATGCCGATCTTGGTGTTTTTGTTTTTGTTTTTTTCAAACACTAAATGAGCAAAAAAGTTAGGAAAGCAATCGAATGCTTTTATTATAACGTGAGATGTGTGCATTTTTAAAGTGACATCCCTTATTAATGGTGGGCATATCTCTCATTTACACATCCCAATGTTGACAGGTATGGTGCGCATCCTATCGATGCTATGCTATCCCATGGTACACAGCAAGAGAAATCATGAATGGGAGTGAAGCGACGCAACGGATGCAGGTAGGTCACATGATGATGACAAAACGGCGGATGTAGTATGTCTCAGTTCTATTCATACTGCTCACATTCATACTGTATAGAACATACTTTTCGAAGGGTTAATAAGTAAATTCAAACTCTAATGCAGTACCTAGGAGGTGATTTCGAACATAGCTAATGTGTACCTTATTGAACAGGCAGTAATAACTTATTTAGCATGTCCTAAAGAAAATAATCTCAAAGCAAATATAACAATACTAAAGTTTTTTATAACTGCACTTTTTTGTCACATAAGAATGACTGTTCTGTCATACAGAAGTACAGTGAGAAAGTGGCTATAAATTATAAAAATAAATTGTTGACTTTTGCCATTAACATTAGGGAATTTGCACCATACTTCTAGCTCAAATTGCAGTCACATTTACCATTGTCAGAAATTTTCAAAACCTCCAAGCATGGACAGAGAGAGCAGCAGCAACTTAACCAAATGAGTTGAGTGAAAATGGCAAGAACATGAGGCTGACTGCCATGTACTTGGGCTAAATACCTTAGACAGATGGCAAATATCTGCTAAAAGGAGTTAGAGAAGATAGAGAAATGTAGAAATGTCTTGCAGCCAAGCACTGAGAAGAGAGCGGAATGTATGGAATTAAATAGAGCACTGTGACAGCTCTCTGAACCGGATACAGATCATGAACTAACGTAATATTTGATATTATGTGTATATATGTGTCTGTGTATACAGTCAAGCTTAAAATGATTCAATGATACCCCTGGCAAATTCTGAATTCTAAGTTACTTTATTCAATAAGCAAGTTTTTTGTTTTTTTTTGTTTGTTTGTTTGTTTTCAGAAATGACACATGCTTCTCTCAAAAGAAAATCATTGTGGAAAAATATTTATCAGCTTTATTTTTATTTGAACAAAAACTTTAAATCAGATTTTGCCAGGATTATGAATAATTTTGGGCACACTGACAAGTTTAGAGTCAGAATTTCTTTCATGTTTTTTAAAAGAAAATTATTCTGATCATCAAGGTGGCATTTATTAAATGTCAAAAAGTTAAATTGTTAAATATTTATTCAAAATTTAAATATTTTTTTTTTATTGTATGTAGTTGAATGGATGAATGATCACTCCAGTCATTACTGCTTTTATTAATAATAATAATAATATTCTAGTTCTAATAATAACAATAATAATTCATATTAGAGGGATTTTTTCTCATGGAACACTGAAGACTGGCGTAATAAAGCTGAAAATTCATCTTTAAAATTACTGGAATAAATTATTAATATTGTAAAACGGGTATACTGTGGGTTGAACAGCTCTCTTGTCAATATTTATTCAGTGCATTTAAAATTGCAGTTTTTTTTTTTCCAACCAAGATTTTGGTAAAATATTTAATAAAATTCAAGGTTATTTAAATAAAATTTGATTTGATTTGATTGATTAATTAACTAATTTATTTATTCATTAGGGCTACTTCCATCAATGTGGTTGGATTTGTCCATATTTTACCCAATTTGGACTGAAACGTTCAAGCACTTTGTGTAGAATATATTTGACAAAATTATTTGTATTGACAATCAAATTAGTTTATTATTCATTTATTCATTTTCTTTTCGGCTTAGTCCCTTTATTAATTTAGGGTCGCCACAGCAGAATGAACCACCAACTTATCCAGCATATGTTTACGCAGCGGATGCCTTTCCATCTGCAACCCACCTCTGGGAAATAGTTCTTCACACACATATTTTTTTTATTTAAGGCTGTCAGTAAATTATTATATATCTAAAATAAATTTTCAAGATTCCCGTACTGAGTTGTGGCCGTACAACTAAACAAAATCGGTCAACAAAAAATAAGACAGTTTTATTTGGGTAAACTGGCTCAAGTTCATTATGTGTAGGAGGTAGGTATGCTATATGATAAGAATATCAATAGAGCAGCAGCAGTTGCATAACAAATGATCTATAAACAAATTGCATAATGCGCTCCTCGATTGGGGGTTGCCCCGCCTGCGACAGTGTTGCCTTTTATTTCCCTGCCCTCTCTAGACTCCCAGACGGACTAATCTTTTGGACAGATCGTGAAATTAGGTAAATAGGCAACGGCAGCATTCGCGTCCATATCACAGAGGACGTGTTTTCTCGTTTCCCTGTCAAGCGTGTCCTTCTTCTCGGGACATCTGTAACCAGGAAGTGGAGCCCTAGTTAGTCCTCGATCAGTTGTTTGTACAATGCGCGCTTAAAAATCAGGACTGTAACTCTGTGTTCGTGATAAGAGATCGTGTCATGGCGCATGTCGGAGCTCGCCGTGTCTGCTCGTGATGAGGCAGTACGTCAATGTCCCGCTTATATGACATGGTAAGTGCGTTTGTTTTCTTTTACAGAAGTAAAGCAGACCGCGAGACTTAACAACAACTGTTGAAAGTCTGTCTAAATACATGTAAACTATGGGATTGGATGTTAGCGTGTTTGACAGGATGTTTGTAGCCAACTCCTGTGGCGTATTCTCGAAGGTCACAAGCGACAACTTCAATCTACCGCTATTAACAGGCATCTGGAATACTGTATGATAATCGCGACGCACGCATGCGAAAACTGACAGTGCAGTCGGCTGCGCCGTTCATAAAAGGGATAACTTAGTTCACCCAAAGAAAGCGTGCTTTAATTACTCAAATGATTATAAACTTTTAATGACTTCCTTTCTTCTGTTGAACCCAAAACAATATATTATGAATGTTGGGTGGAAAAACAACAAAACAGAAGTCAATGGCTGCTGCTTTCCAACATTCCTCACAATATCTTGTTTTGGGTTCAACAGAAGGAAACAAGTGGAGTAAAGTTTACCATGGTGAAAATTATTTTTTTTAGGTAAACTAGCCTATTGTAACACATCCAGTTTTCACTGTTGTTTTAGCTTGTTTTATTTCTGCAGAAAGCCTAACAATAACAAAAGAAATCATAAATATTATATCTCATTTACTTTTAGCAGTTGAACCAATAGTGTATTAACGCATAAGTTGTTCAGTGCTTATATCTGGTTTATGTATTCATTCATAGTGATGTAAACAATCAAGTAAAGTTGACTGAACATTACTAATAATTTCGCATTTTGGTGCTTTCACCTAAAAATACGAGTTAATAACTTGTATTTAATGAAAATGCATTAACTTAAGATTTCAAGTATAATAAGCTCAAAATCACAAATAATCCTTTGAAAAAAATAGGTCGTTTTTAATGTAGTCTTGACTGTAAAATTCTAACATGTGCAACCTTTTACTAAAGATTTTTTATTTTTTTTTATCAGAAAACAAGGCTTCATGTATAATCATTCACCATAATGGGAATAAATGGCTACTTATTTTTCTTTTAAACAATTTTTTCATAGTATAAAATTACACACACAGATACACTGAACTGAACAATTTAAGCATAATCTACCAAACCAGCAAGTTAAATAAACTTAAATATACAAGTTTTGGGAGACTCTGTTACTCAATTAAATTGAGGCAACGAGTTTGCTCAATTAATTTTGTTCAGTCAACTTATTAGGGTGTTCGGTGTGTGTGTGTGTGTGTGTGTGTGTTATTAATTTGATCAAATTGTTAATGACTGCACCTGAATGTAAGCTTACAGTATGTCTGATTTGACTACACTGTAAAAAAAAAATCATTGTAAGCTAACAGTTTGTCATTTATGGTGTTTTCCTTGTGTTTTTGAATTGAATTATAGGATATTTCTGCCAACAATTTATGATGTTAAAAAGTTGTATTTTTATTATTTATTTACGAGCAATTCCAGCGTTATGGATAACTCAAAGCAGAAATTCACATAGAAAGTATTTGTTATCATTATATTGAACCATCTGTTTATATTTTCCTAAACTACTAACCGCAGAGTTAAGGGATCAGAAAAATTACCAATTTGTAAACATTTTTTATACTTTAAATGAGGAAAACAAACATGCGTTATGGATGTAACCAAAGAAAGTCAGTGAGTTTACTGTATACAACATTCTTTGTTGAAATTCAGTGAATTAAACTGCACAACCCAAAAGAAACAATGCTAACCATCAAAAGAATAAGTGTTGGCTCTCTATAAAACAAACATGATAGATTTTATTTTATTTGCCATTTTTGTATTTATGAGGAAAAAGCTTGACATCTCTTTGTATTGATGTTACAGGTGTGAAATTGGCACTTGCGTGACTTTGGTAAATTAAATATAATTGTTTGAAAACATTGACTGAGACAGTTTTGAGTATTTTTACAGTACTGTAGAATACAAGCCTACACAAAATACGAAGAAAAGCTTTCACTATTTTGGTAAAAACATAATTTTTTCATGGCAAGGTTGACATTTGCATGGAATTGCTCTTATTCGTTCATTTATTCATTCATTCATTCATTCATTCATTCATTCATTTTGGGGGACGGTTATTATATACGTTTTATTGACATTTTTAATAGTTTGAAGTAGGGAAAAAAAAATTTTTTTTGGGTTGGTAGAGATAACGGTACAAAAACTTGGTCATAAAATGCCAATGCATTTTTTTTGTTTATTAAACTGTCTATAAAATCACTTTGTTCAACTGCAGAGTTGAATTGTCAACATCAACAGACAGCAAAGCAGAGATCAATGACCCAAAGTGTAATTCATAGCCAAAAATAAACGAAAAGCAACTGTGAATCAAAAAACAAAAAAAACAAACAAACAAAACAAAAAAAAAAACAGAACCTGTTAATTAATTAATTGGATACTTTTTTTTCAGTGTAGTCTGTCACAGGGGTGCTGATATTTGTTTTTGTGTAGTTTTGCTTTTACATAGCTCCAGAAAACAGTTCTACTGTCAGCCTATCACAAAATTAAATGATTTTAAAATGATCCATACTGGGTTTATTTTGCAGTTATGAATAGCAGACTATAGAATATCCAGTCTAAATACAAAATTTATTGATATTATTTTTTTATTATTACATTTATTACTGTATTACTACAACTTCAGGGTTACTTGGTTAGAATTGTCGCCTCACAGCAAGAAGGACACTGGTTCGAGCCCCGGCTGAGCCAGTGGGCATTTCTGTGTGAAGTTTACATGTTCTCCCCGTGTTGGCATGGTTTTCCTCCAGGTGCTCCGGTTTCCCCCACAGACATACGCTAGGTGAACTGAATAAACTAAATTGGCCATAGTGTATGTGTGTGAATGCAAGAGTGTACAGTAAGGGTGTTTCCCAGCACTGGGATGTAACTGAAAAGGCATCCATCCACTGTGTAAAACATAAGTTGGCAGTTCGATCCGCTGGTTGTAGCCCCTGATTAATAAAGGGACTAAGCCTAAGGAATGAACTGCATCTTTATAATATTGCATAAAAGCAATGAGCTTTTGTAGTAAAACTGTTATATAATATTATTTTGCAACCAGTAATTCTGTCTTATAATTTCAGAAATATGATTGTTGTTTACAAAAGTAAAACTTTCCATTTATCCGCACTCACTCTGTTTTAAAACACCATGAACTACTTTGTGGAACATGAAAGATTATATTTTGAGAAAAAGGGCTGTTGTTTGGCTCCCAGCAAAAAAAGATAGACCTAACAGGGCTTTCATTTTGTTTTATCCATTTATTTTCTTTCTCATTCAGTCTGTCGTCTTTGATTTGTGCAAACAAAATGAAAGCTCAGTTAATGTCAGTCAGCCCTGAAAAAACAAGTGAATAATTTAGTCATTTTTGACCGCTGAATTAGAGCCAGACTGATTTCTTTTTTAGAAGCTGATACCCATATCAGGGAGTTCAAAAACAATACTGATATATATATCGTCTGATGTTCTATATTTGCATATTATAGTTTAGTACCAGTCAAAAGGACATGTTCTCTTTAACTTCATGGGCTTAATTTTTTTTTTAATTGCATCTTAATGGGATTACATTTTTGTAATCAAAAGGGTTATTAAATGAAGTCATGAAACTTGTACAACCAAATTACAAAAAAACAAAAAAAAAACTAGAAACTACACTGTTCTGTACTCTGTGAAAAAAAAATATTTGTAAGCTATAGTACACTATATAGGGTTCTATGGTTTACTGGTACTATGATAGTATTGCAATAAAATGGCTCCAAAATACTGTAGTTTTTAAACGGTAGTATCGTCATTAAAGGTTTTTCTAAGATAGATAATGTTGTATGTGGAAAAGTCACAAAAATGCTCACACGTTTGAGCAACATTAAACCATTATACTTGTTGAGCCCTTTAAGGCTGCAAAACTGTGCAGAATGTGCGCTTTTTTGGTAGCCTATTGCATGTTTTCTACCGCTTCAGTTTGAACGCACATCTGAATCAGTTCATTTCTGTTCCTGTTAAGATGATTTATTAGCAACAGCGACAATCTCTTTAATAGAACAACTCAAAAAGTGAAATTTTGAATTACTCTGGATTGTTACCTGAGAAGACTGAAAGCAAAAATAGATGAAAAACCCAAAATAGCAACAGGAAACTTTGAACGATTTTTGACCATTCATATAGCCTAAATTTGTTGGGAAAATGCTCTTTTTGTAACAAATTTAATTCGGTATAATTTGTATCTTTATTTTAATCCATTTTTTGTTGCCTTTAAGGAATTATGAATTTAATTCAAGTAGGTCTACCTGACATGTAAAATATAGTATTTCTGACTGTTTTCTTTAGAATTTGAGTTGGTATTGTGATTCTTCAGCTAGTATCGTAAGATTAATTAATTGTATCGTGGCAACCCTTGTAAGCTAACAGTTTTTCGTATTTTATGATTCATTGTTTTTTTTTATTTACTTTTTTAGAGTTGGATCATGGGATATGTCAACATTTTATGATTTTAAAAACTTGTATTTTTTATTTATTGATTGTTTTATTAATGTATTAATTTATTTAATTATTCATTTATGGGGTGGAGGGATATTTTTTGACGTAACAGCTTGACTTAAACCAAAAATAAACAGTTATTAAATGAAGTCATGAAACTTGTACAAATTAGCAACTTATTAAAAAATAAAGATGCGTATACTGTAAATACAAGTGAATAAACACAAACCAACAAAACTAAATAAACCAATAAAAGTCACTCTCACTTTAATCTTTAATTCATGCTTTATAATCGCTTCGTCTGATAAAATCTACATTAGGAGTGAGACTATCATGCAGTGGTTTTGGCTATACATTTTTTTGCTCCATGTTGTGTCTAAGAAACAAACTAACTGCATAACACAGCCTGATCTCAAGAGTAAATGTAACTATTTTCTGTTTTGACAGTTTAGTGGCTAATTTGTATAAATTCATTTATTTAATTCAATAAGTGTCCTGGGATACATTTTTAAGAACTGAGAAATACA